GGGGTTAGAGGGGTGAATTAAGGGTGAATTAAATTTAATTAAGCTTATAACTTTCAGATTTTTAAATCTTCCAATCTATTAATTATTTATATATAGTATTGTATATTGATATGATCATTTTGACACGTAAAATTTTATAAAATTGAGTTGGTTGAAATTTGAAGGACGTGAAATTTGGGGTACATTTTAAGTGGTCAAAATTTTAACCTGATTTCACAAAACTATGTATTACATGCAAGTGAAGGTCATTATTCAAGGGTTTGTCTTTTAAAAGATATTTTTATTTTGAATGTTTCAACAACATCGGCCATGAAATCCCTTAACATACTCACGGTTGATGTCGAGTGGTTTGAAGGTTGCATCCTCCTCTCCTCACTATTTACATTCCTTAAAAAAAAAACTTGCCTCTCAATCGGATGTACTTGATTCTCTGAAAAATTTCTCGTAATTTCTCTCTAATCCAGAGAACTTCTATTCTCCAGATGAAATTTGTGAAGATTTCTTCAATGATGAAAATTCTACTCACTATTCTTCATTTTAGATGAATTCCACAGTGAATTATACTCCTCAATAAATATACGATTATTTGCTAATTCCAAAAATTCAGCCAAGGTCCTCATGCATTGCAACACAAGAGCATAATGGAATGGACCTTCTCGCAGGCCCTGAGCCGATGCAAAATGAGCAACTATCGGTTCAAAATCTTTCACCTCCAGCATCTTCCATCTGAATCTAATAACAAGGCTCCTCAAACTTTCTCTCAACTCTTGATGATTCCTCAGCAAAGCCTATGAATACTTTTGAGACTTCTAGGCAAAGACAAATTGCACAATAAAAATGCACATAAGTTTCTCATAAAAAATAATAGCTCTTATCGGTAAATTTAACAAGCGTAGACCTAATTCATTCAAATTTATAAAAATTAATCAACACTTCTGCATGTCATTTTTCTTCAGCAAGCAGATGGTTGATTCTAAAGATGCAATATGATCAGCAGAATCTGCTCTCCCCTTAAGACTCTTGAGCCGGAATCTTAAACTTCTATGGTGCCTCTGCCTCTACAATCTCTCTAGAAAATACATTCTCCAATGGTTGCTTTCTTTTCTTGTCTTCTCCACTCTCTCTTATGATCATAAAGAGAAGAATCTTCACTACCTGGATGACAAGTTTCATCATCTTATACAGGTGAGGATGGCAGAGCTCTCCTTACTCTCGCTGCACGTATTACACTTCTCTAAACCACCGATTCAGAAGAATCAAATAAATCAGAACTCTGCGAGTCACTCTAGCTTCATGCTCCAATGCTTCACAAATCATCAATATTATTTATTCCTTTAATTTGTTCGTGTGTTGCATCATAAACTCTCTGGTGCACTCCATTTTAAAGGAATATTGTCGGGGCCAGAACTTCTTTCACTTGGAAAGCACCTCTTCCACCATATGGCATGATAACATCTAAAAAAATATTAGATCTCAAGTTTTCAGTGGTCTTACGACACTTAAGTAAGACTTGTTATGAGAGAAGAGCAGAATAACAAAGAACATCCCTATAAGACAGGAGATGAAGTAAGGAATACTTCGTACCTTTTATATATTCTTCTGCAGCAGGCCAAAAGTCCCCTATCTAGTGGACGACCGCCCCTATTTACAAGTTTTGGCTCCACCTACAAGCGGTTATATAATTGACCATCATATTTATATTAAAATATATAATATATATAGGGTTTTGGCTTGGTTAAGTTCTTTCTATTATATTGCGCTGCGTTTCTTCGTGGTTGTTGGACGCTTTGTTCGCTACTGTTGCGGCTTTGTGGTGTGGACTTCGATGGTATCAGGGCAGTGTTAACCGAATTCAACCTCGTCCGGATCGCTCAACCACACTGTCAGCACATTTTTACGTCGTTCATTCCTTTGAATTGTTCAATTGCTTATAGTCCTCAAAAGTGAGCCAGCTAACAAATTGTTAAGGTGAGTACCATTGCCCGTAGTAACCAACATCATCCATCAGATTCCTGAGCTCAAGTAAGTCTCCATTTTTCTTCTTCCTCCTGGATGTGTAGACCTGTCATTTCTCATCCGATGATTGGCTCGTCTGATCAATGAATTCCAAAGTTGGTCGGACAAGTGTAGACTATTGCACATCATGATCCTCACGAGATTGAGTAACATTAGCAGCTTGTTCAACCTGATGAAGCGGTAGTGAAGTAGTAAAAATATTGCCACCTGTATTATCGATAATAGATTCTAAGGCAGGTGGGGTCTGAAGAATCACCCTCTCCCCCACGATAAAAGATTCCAAAGACGGGAGAGCTACAACTAGGGACTGAATGGTTGTCATATTGCCTGCGAGAATAGTGACATCTTTCGGGATATCCTTTTGATGATCAATAGTGTCAATAAATTAGAGCGGATCAGGAGGAGATGAAATCGCTGCCTCTGACGAAACACTGTGCTTTTTTTATCTGAGTTGGGGGTATAGATGATGGTATTGAGAACTGAAGTTACCGAACATACAACAATTTGAACAATACGAAGAAAAATGATCAATCACTACTTTTTGTCAATATCCATGAAGTTGAGTGCCCAACCAAACTTCCTCAGAGGCGGGTGAAGTGAAGTCTCTTTCAATAAGTACTCAGGCTTCAGATGGATAAGGAAGATTAAAAGTAGGAATTTCCATTTTGAGTAACTTACCATAAGCTGAGGCAATAAAATACAATATTTTTTAGTAAAATAATAAAATTTCAGATCAGGGAGGCGAATCCAAACTGGAATGATTGGTGGTTCCGTCTATGAGTCAAAATCCACAGACAATTTCAGAATCTTCATTGCATTGTTATCAATCCAGATTATCCTTCTAGCAAATAAACGTGTGTAATCTTCATTCTTTTGTTGTATGAGAATGTGTCTTTCATCTAATAGTCTAATTTTTCACTCTTCAAAAAGATGCATAAGCTTAAATTCCTTACGAATCAGCTCTATTTTGGGATGGTTATACAGAAATTTTCCGACCAAATTCAATCGACAGAATAAAGCAAATTGAATACCTTCAGCTTTTATAAAAAAGATCACAGACTTCCTATTCTTCCTACCAGGTTTCTTGATGTCCTCCGCCCACTCAAACGAAAGAGGGAAAGAACACGATTTAGGTGTATCTGAGGTGTGGACACCCGCAAGTGCAGCAACATAAGATCTGTCTGAAGTCATCCCTAATAGATGGAGGTGCTGCGTAGCAGAGCAGAGACCAAATTCGAAAGAGCGAAAACCCAAAACAGGGAGCGGCAAAGCTCCTGCGATCTTCGCTCGAGGGACAAAGTGGAAGGAGTGGAAACCCAGGAGAGAGAACAGGAGCGGAAACGAAGCCCCTGCGATCTCAGAGCAAACTGGAAGGAGCGGAAATCCAAAACGACCAGGAGCGGCGAAGCCCCTGCAATTTTAGCTCGAGCCTAAGGACAAGAAGCGACGGTTGGAAGGCGCGGGACGGAGCCCGACGTAGCCGACGCACGAGCGGAGATGACTCGATCGACAAAGCCGATGACGCATGAGCAGTAGAAGAGGACGCGCGTCAACAGCGGCGACAACGGCGAGAGAGTTTGATCGATGAAGAGAAGAAGTGGAATAATAACCAAGGATCACCACGGTGAAACCCTAGCAAAGTGTGAGCGTGAGAGGGAACGCCATAAATATATATACTTCTCTAAACCACCGATTC